ATAGCGTCAAAAAGGTGCCCGAGGTCAACCAGGAAATCCTGAAGGGGTTCATGAAGACGGTCATATGCGATGACAATCTGGCACTTCGAAAAGTTAAGTGCCAGCCCTATTGCACAACCCAGACGCCCCAAGCACAAAGAGCGGCCCGAGGCCATCAAATAGGCAGCGTAATCCAAAACAGAGGTTATCCTTTAGGCGAGCGCGAGGGTTAAGTGCACGGGTGGCCTCGATTGTAACCATGCCAGAACAAGTTCAACAGCTAAGACAAATAGAAGCATCGAGATCGGGTCTCCTTGTCGAACCCCACGCTCCATGGGGAACTCACCAAAGGTCCTCCCGAATAGGTGAAGAACAGCGGAGTTATCCTTGCAGAGGGCCCGGAGAAAAGAAAACACACATATATATATATATATATATATATGTGCCAGAAGGACGCCCGTGGAGCGCAAAACCTGCAGCGCCCGGGGGACCTCGATGGAGGGTGAGGCGGAAGCGAAGTCCGTCAGGACCAGCCCACTCGTGTACCTATCACGAAGGTGTTGTTCAAGCAAGAAAGCTTCAGCCTCCATCGCATTCGCCAGCATGTCTCTACCACGAAAGCACTTCTGAGGAGACTGGAGCAAACAATGTCTAGCTACTTTGCGGGTAAGAAGCACCGCCATCGATGCCGAGGACAACTTCGCATCAGCATTTGTCATACTGAGGGGGCGCGTGCATGCAGGTTCCCGAAATGCCCCTTCCCCCACCTCCTGGTCCGTGATCTTTTTCGAAAGAAACACCATCAAACACCTTTTCATATCATTGGGGATACCAGCATGCGGGTCCCGGAACAAAGCTTGGTAGATTTCGTAAAGCACCTCGTCAGCAGCACAGGCCCTCCAGGCCGAGTAAGGTATTCCATCCTTCCCAGGCATGCTATCCCTCCTCCCCTCTATCATCTTGCACCAATCGACCTCATTCATCATCCACTCGTGCTCAATCATGCAATTCATATATTCATCCTCAGGCACATCGGACAACTTCTGGGTAAACTGCAGCAACTCGGGCCAGGAGGGACTCATCGTCCGCGGTGCCCGCGAAGACAGAACTCCAATTGTCCTGAAGGGCCTGAGCGGCCTCCTCTTCGGTGCGGCTAGAAACGCCAGAGGGTGAATGGGCCCCCTGGAGCCACGTCCGTCTCTTCATCTTCCGCCAGAGTTCCTTCCGAGCAGCCAGCTTCCGCCGAGCATTCCCCCCGCCCTCGGCCTGGCGGACTCCGACCCCGGGGGGGCGGGGCGTCGCAGAACTATCCGTGGGTGACGGGTTGGCTTCCCTGTCCTGATTAACCTCACTCTCAGCCTCGCCCAGAAGAATGTTGCGAAGACCCTGGGCGTGAAGACAGAGAGGCCCGCTCCGTGCGCCACGGAGGCCGGCAGGGAAGTGCTGGGCAAGAGTAGGGTAAGCAGCGATCGCGGCATTGAGAAGAAAGCTGTCGCCTGACCGCCATGCGCGCAGTGCCTGCATGGCACGATAGTGTTAGGCCCCTGTCGTATCAGCAGCCTTCAGATTGACAATCCGTTTAACTTCTTCGGCAACCTCGAACATCAGCGATTTCGTTTCCGCCAGACGGCCCCACGGGTCAACATCGGGAAGGGCGCGAATGGGTGTCGGGTGATCCAGGGAGCCAGACGTTTCGGGGAATCTTGAGGTCGGAAGGTGCTGATCGAGACAACTATCGGGACGCGGCCGGACACCATGTCCACCGTCAAGGGCCCAGGCGCCTCACGCATGATGGTGAGGTCGGCAACAAGGGCAGACGGAAGCGTGCTGTACGCGCGGTCCAGCCGAGCAGGATGAGTAGTAAGGCCATCCCTGACCTCCCTCCTCGTATCCTCACATTGGTAGAATTCAACCCAAGAGCCGCAGAGACGATGGAAGAGAGCAGCATGGTTGTCGTCGCCTGGCGACCAGCCGCTTCCGTCGGCTCGGGGTCGCCGATCAGATGAGAGAGCAAAATTCCAGCCGCCAGCGAGAATCGTGAAACACTCGGCTGGGTTGGGCAACGCCCGCAGAATCGAACGAAGCGCATTGGGATAGATCGTAGAAAGCTCATTGGCGTTAGGCATGCGCGCGTTGATGATACACATATTCCCATGACGCCCAGAGAGAAAAAGTGCAGAGGACCCGACCATCGATGATAGGGGTGCGGGTAATAGTGGAGAAGAGCTTGGCAAAGGCAGGCTGGATACACGTGCCTCCCAACGCCGTAGAGTTGGGGAACAGAGAACGACCGATCTCGAAGGACCGAAGCTCTCGCCGAAGCTCATTTATATCCGCAATCTGTCCATGGGTTTCCTGGGCGCAAAAGACCGCGAGCTGCTTCGCGAGCTTCAGAAATCGAGCAAAGCGAGGGGCTGCTTTCGTACTTCTGCTTCGAACAGCGGCAAGAAGAGCGGCAGTGTTCCAAGATCCAATCTTAATCTGAGGGGAGGGGAAGAATGGGCGGGCCCTGAAATCAGTGGGAGACGCAGGCATAACTGGACAATAGCAGAGCAAAGGCGTGGCATCATGGCCCGCAGCGCTCGGGCGCACTTCTGAAGGTGTCACCATGGCCGCGCCCGCAGCCTGAGGCCAGCCTACTTCAGCTCTAGAAGGGCTGCGAGGCATTCAGGTGGTCAATCCCCTCCTGCAGGCGCGGGAGAAGGGGGGAAACAATAGAACTAAATTCTGCAAACAGGTCGGGAAACAAAAAAAAAAGCGATGCCGACTTTCGGCGGCTCAGAGACATCATTCACAAGTTCAAGGTGGCACAATTGAACAGGATCTTCAGCTGACCGAAGAACGTGAACATCTCCTCCGAGTCCGTTAGGTCCCACGTCTTTGCCAATGTCCTTCATTGCATCGGCCAGGGCACCACGAATTTTACCCATAGCCAAGAAGAGTAAACGTGTTCCTGGGGCCATGTCTCGCTTGACTCGCAACATGATCAGCTGCTGCGGGTATGCGGGGTCGGGGAAGGGAATCATGCCGTGAGTGCTCATCATATTCATGAAGTCCGACGCTTTCGTCGAACCCTTGAAACCCAAGATAATCTTCTTCGTCATATCGTAGGTGCGGACAGTAGGGCGTTCACGAGAAGGTGGGATACCTGCCGTCAGTACCAGGTCCGCAGCACGCCTCAGGGAGGCTTGCGTCACTTTACGAGGGAAGCCAATAATAATGACACGATGGGCACGCTCAAGTACTTCAGATTTTGCCTCATACACCGTGCTAGGAAACTCACTCCGATGCTGAGTATTGGAATTTGTGGTCGGTTTGCTTTGTAGTTCGGTAGTGGCTGCCTCTATCTTCTCCATCTTGAGCTCCACCGCCACGGAGACCGCCTCCTTGATGGAAGTAGCACTGGCAACTTCGATGTTCGAGATGCGCGAGTTGAGCAGGTGAACGTTCTTGTCCGTAGTCGAGATAGCTTGCTGGAGCGATTGGCCCTCCTGAGAAAAGTTCTGCTCCAATGTCTGGATGCGAATGTTTGAGTCCTTGATACTGCCGATGAGCTGCTTCATCCACGAGGGCGGGTTGTCAGGCGCCGCCTCCTGTTCATTGGCGTGGCTGCTGTGGCTTCGGCGGCTCCGAGTAGAATCACGACTGTCTGGGCTCATCGAAAACCGTTCAGGCGAGCGAGCAGGACTTGAGCTGACAGAAAGCAGCAGCTCAGAGCCCTCTTGGGCCGTCTTGCAAGCCTCGCGGGCCGCAGCGGCGCGATGGTGGGCGTACTGCGGCCGTTTTGGGGCCCGGTGTGCCTCCTGTGGGGCCCTTGTGGCGTGCCCAAGCTCGTTTGGAAGGCCACCTGGAGCCCGCCTTGGGGCGATTCTGGGCGCCTCGTGGGCCGTCCTGCGCCCGCTCGGGGTGTCCTGGGGCCCTCTTGAGCGCCTTTTATGCCGTCCCCGGGCGTCGGGCAGCGGAGCAGGCGACCACACGAGAATCCTTGAAACGCTGACGGAGAATCAATGATTCTTGCCCATGGGGCCTCTCGCGGTGATCAGCTGGAAGCTCACTTGGGGCGTCTTGGAGGCCACGTCAGCCGTCTCGAAGCAATGGTGGGCGCGCTGGGAGCGCTGTGGTGCTTTCTGGCACCCTCAAAGGCCCTTTGAGTGCCCTCAGGGCCCCCTTGAGGACCCCTTTGGCGGGCGGAAGCCCGTTGGCCCACCATGCCACACAATGGCACCGGTTTTGGCCCGCCCTGGGACCTGTAACTGGTGTCTTCTCCATGTCCAATATTTACCATCATTTCTATGTACACGTGGGTCGGAAGTAGTTGGTAAAAAGCATGACGTAGGAAGGCGGCTGAAGTAGATTGAGTACAGGCCCTCACAGAGAATAGCACACACACAGCAAAAGCAGATCGGTTCTTGAAATAGGACGGTGCCTGAAGTAGACGGATCTGGGAATCAATAGTGCCTACTTTCAACAACCGACGTGCAATTGTGTGTTTGCGTTTTATTGTTCCATCCTGCTCCAGATAAGGGTGTGGTCTGCAAAGGGTGTGGTTTACAACCTGGGGGGCGCACCTGGACCTCGATAGAGTTCTCCCGCGCCCCGAGGAGGCCCGACGAGGACAGTGTCGTGCCCCCCAGGCCCCAACGGTGCCGATCGCAAACCACACCCCATCGTAAACACACACGTTGCAGTCGTCGAACCCAGGATGTCCACTGACCTTAAGTGTGGGAACGTCGCGCTCTCCATCGCAAAACCCTCGAAACCCAAGAAACCCAGGGCACCCTGGAAACAAGCAGAGTGTTTCTTGGCATGGGCCTCCGCTGTTGTACCTTCCGCCACGTGCATCGCGGCCTATGTCGCACTTGTTCGACCAACATTTGTCCCTCCTGCCAGCGCAGTCACTCTGCCTAGCCGCCGACGCCAAAAAAAATTGCGTCTATTGCCCCATCCTGCTCCTCTGGGCCCCACGACGGCGACCATGCCGCGCGAGCGCCGCTGTGCGGCGGCAAGGCCGAGGCCCGCGCAGGCCGCGGCGCACTCGAGCAGCGCGGCGGCGCCGCGCTCGGCTTCCTCGCGTCGGCGGAGGCGGCGGCTGCAGCAGACCGACGACGACGACGACGACCTGCGCCGTTCGACTTCGCCGAGGGCGGCGGCGGCGGCCGCGCCTGACCGGGCGGCGGCGGCCGCGGGTGGCGGTGGCGAATCCTGTGGACCGTGCCAAAATACCATCCCTGGGACTTCACCACCGCGAGTCAACGTGACCATAATGCGTCCTGACGTTCCCAGATCGCGCGCCAGTGCCCTTCCTGGGACTTCAGCGCCACGAGTCAGCGTGACTGTCGCGCCCCGGCAATCAAAAGCCGTGCCAGAGTACTGCTCTTGGGACCTCGCCCATACGAGTCACTGAGGCTGCTGCTCACTTGTGGGACGAATGCGCGCAGCACGAATGCACCACGCGGCAACGACCTCAGACAAACGGCCGCACGAATGCACCACGCCGCACGAATGCACCACGCGCGCCGCACGAATTACGCGGCAATGACCTCAGACAAACGCACCACGTTTCCGAGCTGCGTCCAGCCGTGGCGACGTGGGGCCCCCCCGAAGGCCAACCACGGCTGCCCGAGCCCGCCCTCCTCTGGGCGGGACGGCAGGCGCAGCGGCGGCGACGACGGCGGTGGCGGTGCCGACGACGGCGGCGGCGGCAGTGGCGGCGACGACGACGACGACGACGGCGGCGAGGACGGCGGCGGCGGCGGCAGCGGTGGCGGCGACGACGACGACGACGATCACGAAGCGACGGCGGCGACTGCGGCGGCGGCGGCGACGGCGGCAGTGGTGGCGGCGACGACGACGACGACGACGACGTCCGCGGCGGCGGCGGCGATGGCGCTGGTCTCCTGCTCGGTCCGCTGCACCATGCGGCGGGCCCCGTGCAGCTGGGCCTCCGCGCTCCGCAATGCCTCGGTGGCCTCGGCGGCCTCCTCCACAGCAGCGGGGCGGAGGGCGGTGATAACGGCGGCCGCGGAGGCCGCCGCCGCTATCGACAGCGTCGGCGAGGGCGGCGGCGGCGACGGCGGCAAGGGCGGCGGCGGCAGCGGCGATGACGCCGCCGCCGACGAAGACGACGAGGCGACGAGGACGACGAGGCGACAGCGGCGGCGGTGGCGGCAAGGTCGACGACGAGGGCGGCGGCGGCCTCGAGCGAGGACGACGAAGATGACGACGACGACGACGACGACGACGACGACGACGACGTACGAGGTACGAGGCCGAGTGCGAGGACGACGGCACGGACGAGCACCACGAGGATGCTGAAGCAGGGGGATTGAGAGCGGTGACCACGACGACTTGGCTTGACTCGGCCTTCGAGCGGCAGCTCCGCGGCCCCGGCCGTCCAGGCGGCTTGAAATCTTGAGCTAGCCTGGTGCGGGCCAAGCAGGGGAGGAGATCCTTCGGCAAAAAACAAGAAAGGGGGACGACGACGACGACGAACCCCAGCCGCCGTCCTCCTGCTCCTCCGGGGAGGGAAGGAAGCGGACATGGGGAGACGGAATACCGATCGTTTAGGATGGGAGGGGGGGAGGTAGGAGGAGGGAGGACGGTCAGAAACAATTGCAAGGCGGAGGGGGAGGGAGAGACGGCGAGGAGAAAGAGAGGACAGACTACGACGACGAATTGGAACTGCAATGGCATGGGCCCACCTCCCTCCTCCCAATCGAAAAATTACCTCCCCCCATCCTCGCCCCGCCCTCCAACCCTCGCTTCCCTCCTCACGCCATCTCTCCTTATCCCTACTCCCCCTCCCCCCTCCTCCGTTCATCCCTCCCTTCCTCCCTCACTTCCTCCCACCTTCCCCGCCCTCCTCGATCCACACCCTCCTCCGCCCTTTCTTCAATCCCTCCCCCCTGCGTACCCATTTCCTCTCCAATCCCGTCTCTCCGCCACCCTCTCTCCGTCCTTCTCCAGAAACGTTATGGTCGTCCATCCCGTTTCCTTCTCCGCCACCGCACCCCCTGGCACGTTGAGGCGTGGTAGACTACCACGTGCTGCATGGTAGGGTTTCGGCAAAATCCTGTGAGGGGCCCCACCGCCCCCCCATCTGATGCCACGGCCGCTGTAAAAAAAAGCAAAAAAAAAACAATGGGTCCACGCTGGCATCCGCGCTCCAGACAGCACAATCCCTCGCAACAAGAACTGTGGGTCCGCCCTCCCGAGACCACGATCCCTCGTGAAACAACTGTGGGATCGCCCGCCGGAGATTCCAAGACGACCGAGGCAGACAGCCAAGGACGCCAAGATGGCCCAAGATGCTTCCAAGACGGGCCAAGATGGCCACAAGGCGGTCGAAGATGGCCTCGAGACGGCCCAAGATGCCCCCAAGACGGCCCAAGAGGCCTCAAGAGGAACTCCCCGGTGGGCCCGATGCGATGCGATGCGATGCGACCACCGTTGCGAACAGCGTCCGGGCCTACTCAAGAACGGGTGGGCGAGGCCGTGGCCTCGGGAACCTGGTGTGTCTGGACAACATGCAATGCGAGACAAATGCGCACAAACATTAGGAGGAGGGACGGAGGGAGGATGGTCCTTGGGGTCGGTCGTGTCAGCCTGTATGGGAAGAAAGAAGGAACTCCCTGGTTGGCCCGGAGATCCAACAGTTATTGATGTTCCGATGGTTTTGAACGAGTTGGGCATCTTCACTGGGCGTCCTGCAGCTAACAGATGGCTCCGAGACGGCCCTAGAGAGCCCAATCATGACACGCCAATCTTCCAAGACGGCCTCAAGACAGCCCAAGAGGGCCCAGGACGGCCCCGAACGTATCCCAAGCAGGCCCAAGAGGACTGTTGGAGGGGGCCAAGACGGCCTCAGAGTGCCCCTCAACGGCAGGAGAGCCCAGAATCGAATTGACAAGTCGGATCGGCGATCAGAATGAACCGGATCGGCGAAAATCGGCAGCCGAGTCGGGATAAGTCGAATCGACAGACATCGGCAGACTAGTCTGCCTCCAATGAGAAATCGGAGCCAAAATCGAAACTCAAAATCGAATCGAACCGGAATCGGAAGCCAACGAAATCGAATCGAACCGAATCGGAAGAATCGAAACGAGTCCTGCAGGTCCTGCAACGGCCCAAGACAGTCCAAAGACGGCTGTAAGATCCCCCCAGGCGGCAAAGAGGACCCAGCAGACGGCCCAAGAGACCCAGCAGACGGCCCAACGTCGGCCCGGAGTGGCCCAAAACACCCCTGAAGAGACAAGAGAAGGACGGAGGAGGGAGGAGGAGCACCGCCGACGCGGCACGGAAGCGTGTCACGTGCTGTGGCTCTTCGCGGCCTCGGGACACGAGGTGTCATACGCTGCGGCCTCCTGTGCGCCCCCCGAGCCGCCCGTGGAGCTGGGCTGGAACGGTGGCGAGACTCGCCGCAGGGTATCTGGAAAAATAACTCGTCCCGGTCGCGCAGAGGCCTCCCGGACGGGGTCCGAGCAGACGGGGTCGAAGGATCGCGCCGCATCGCCAGTGCATCGCCGATGCATCGGCGATGCATCGGCGATGTATCGGCGATGCATCGGCGATGCATCGGCGACGTCGGCGATGTATCGGCGACGTCGGCGTGGCGAAACACGGGCTCCACATCGAGCCGCATCGTCGATGCATCGGCGATACGGCGCGATCCTCCGACCCTATACTCTGACCCTATCTAGGAGGCCTAGGTCGCAGCGCCAGACGTTTTTCTTTGGGGGGGGACGGAACGCTCGCTCAAAGCTTCGCCTCGCGTGGAGACTGGGCAGGGCACGTCTCGGACATCTTGTGCTCCTGTCCTCACGCGGGTGGACACTGCCGGCGTGCCTGTGGCCGCGACGTGCGGCAACAAAAACACGAGTCTCGGGCCAAGCACGAGCAGCCGAGACCACCTGGCTCAACGCGGGGACTAAGTAGGGCGGGCAGCAGGGAGAGAGAGAGAGAGAGAGAGAGAGAGGCCCGCGCTGCAAGCAGCGAGTCGCCGACAAGCGCTGGCCAGTCGAAGCGATCAGGCCGAAGAGGCGAGACAAGACGAGACCCAGCCTCCTCGCTAAAGACTCTGAAGGCGGGAAGCTCCGTCCCAAACGCGAGAACTCCGACAAAAGAGAGCTGCTGTTCGCTCCCCTCGAGCGGGGCACTGGCGAGGGAGAGGGGGAGAGAGAGAGAGAGAGAGAGATGGAAAGGGACGCGAGAGAGACAGAGGCACCGATGTGGACACCCTCTGCCCACGAGCAGACAAAATTCTGGGGGCCCTACGTGCCCTACGCTCAGTCTGGGCCCTTCCACGCTCAGGGAATCGCTTGGGAGCCAGGCCGGGCCCCGCCGCCCAGTTGGGCCTCCACCCGCAGGCCGCGGTGCAGGCAGGGCCGAGGTCCAACTGCGCTGCCGCCGCTGGCGCCGCGCTCAGCAGCTGCCCTTGCCCGAGGACGCCCAGTACTCAGAGCACTCCCAGGGCGAGAACATCTTGGGAAGCTTCCAGTGCACGCTGCCCTGGTACCCCTCCACCTTGTGGCTGTCCCACTCGCGCCCGCGCCCCGCCTCGTTCTTGCAGACGTAGGCCTTCCCACTCCACCCCTCGACGCCCGCGCTGTCGTACACCCCCTCGCAGGCTGGGTCGCAGAGGCAGCTGCTCTTCGCCTCCTCCACCGTATCGAACGGCGACCCCATGACGGGAGAGTAGCAGTAGCTCCAGCCGTACTCGAGGTACTCGCACGGCTCTGGCGGTGGCGGCGGGATCCCGACCATCGCCGCCGGCTGGCTCGCCGGCGCCCTCGGGGGCATCTGGAGCCTCCTCCGCCGGCGCGTGGTCAAGCCGCCGGGCCCCGTCTGGGCGGCCTCTGGCCTCAACTGCACCATGGCCGCCTCCTCCGCCTCGGCGCCCTGGCAGGTCACCTCGGGCGCCCCGGCGAGGCCCGCGGAAGCCAGGGCCGCCGCGGCAAGGCAGCACCGCAGCACCTGCATGCCGAGGAAGCGCCAGGGGGGCGCTGGCGCGCCGGCGGTGTTCCCGCTGCTGCCGAGCAGGGCAGGCTTGGGAGGCAACGTTTCAGGTCGCAGCGCCAGACGTGCCATCCAGGCAGGCCGGATGCTTCGCTTGAGACTTTCCTCACCGCCTACGATCCTGAAGCTACTCCAGATTTCGTAATAAAGGGAGGGGGGTCTCATTTCGGGGGGGGGTCTTTTCCAGGCTATCTTGGAGGGCCTGGGGGGGTCTGGGGACGATGTTTTGGAGGGTTCTCCCAGGGGGGGGGGGTCTAAAACTTCTCGTCTGGGAGGGTTGAGACCCCCTCCCTTTTATTACGAAATCTGGAGTAGAAAATTTCCAAGAGCATGGTGCTGGGGCCGTTTTCAAAATGGGGGGGCCGTTTTCAAAATGGGGCCGCTTTCAAAATGGGGCCCTGACGCCGCGCACGCTCGTCTGAAAACAGCCCAGCAGTTGCACGGTTGGAGTGCGAGTTGTTTTCAACACGGGGCTCTCTCGCCTTGGCGCCGCGCGCACTCGTCCAAACAGACATCCAGACGTTACAGAAGGGAGAAAGATTCCTTTTCAAAATGGAGCCTTCCATCCCTTGAGGAGGAACGTTCGGGGGCTTTAGGCTCAGGTAGGAACGCACCTACCTCCAATCGCCTGTAGATGGCCAACAGGGGCCCGACAGTCCATCCTCCACAAGACCGTGGGATCTCCCTAGCGGGGGCCCATCGCCTATCGCCAACCCATCGGTGATGCATCGCCGATTCAAGCTCGACGCTTCCCCCGCCACCACTACCATAGGTAGGAGGAGGAGGAGGAGGAAGAAGAGGCGGAGGAAAAGGAGGACCTCCCAATCCTCCCTTCTCCCCCGTCCTACCCATAGTAGTGGTGGTGGAAAATTGGCCCATCACCCGAACCTGTGCCCCTCGCTCGCGTCACCCCTGCTTCCCTCCCCCTGCGTCCATCGCCGGCCCCGCCGGCGCGGTAGCCGAGAGGTTCGTCTCCTGGGAGGCCGCGTGCACGCCGTCCCGCAGGCTCTGGCTGGAGAACGCCTCCGCCGCCGGGAGGCCAGAGGGATGACGAGGAGGAAGCTGGGAAGCAAGGGGTGAGAGAGCCCAGGGACACGCAAATCAATATACACCAATCACTGGATTCCATACCTTTTGTCAATATGTTCTGGATGTTCCTCTTCCCCTCTACTTCCCATAGTTTCCAATCTTTTCCAGGGAATCGACGTTTCCTAGTGTCTGTGAGTATTGTCCCCTCCTGCAGAAAACCGACGCCACGACCACAAGGGCAGATTTTTCGGGCGGTCCTGTATCGAAGAAGGGGGCAAGACGAACGGTCCCTAACGCACTCCAACTCAACCGATCCCAGCCTCCTCCCTCCTGACTACTCCTAATGCGTGCGTGGATAACTTGGGCGCGGGGTTCCGTGGTCGTCGTTTCTGCTGGTTCTGTTCCCTGGTGTTGGTGGTGGTGGTGTCGCCTCTCTATTTCAGACCGGACAGCAATCGCGCCGAAGTTTTCTCCGATCGTCGCCTGGGGGCCCGTATCGGGCCCTTTGAGTGTGAAGCACCGATCTGGGATGGACTTTGGAAGGAGACGGGGGACAAGTTTGAAGAGGCGAGGCGAGGCGAGGCGCCGGTGTCGCCCCAGAGGGGGCGGCCCTACGAGAGCCCAGCGGTGGCTCCAGAGCGCCGAGAAGTTGAAGCCCGCTCAAATGCTGGAGTGGGATTTCAGATAGCAAGATCGGAGAACGAGCAAGCGTCGGAGTCGGAAGGTCGAAGAGATACGAGCAGGCGTCGGAACAAAAATGCGAGCAGGCGTCGGTGTCGGACTCGAAGAGGTAAGAGAAGGCCTCGGAGTCGGAAGTATCAGAGGCGTCGGGCTCGGAATCGGAGAAATAAGAACGAGCGGGCGTCGAAGCCGGAAATGCGAGCAGGCGTCGGGGCCGGAGTCGAAGGAAAAAGGTAAACGTCGGAGCAAGAAATGCGCGCCAACGTCGGAGCCGGAGTCGAAAACATAAGAAGAAGCGTCGGAGCCGGAAGAACCAACACCCGAGTCGGAAGAAAGGAGAAATGGAATCGTATAGAAGGCAGCTGGAGTCGGAGAGATGGGAACCCGAATCGTGGAGGTGGAAAGTGGAATCGGGAGTCGGAGAAATGACCAGATTGGAGGGAACACATACAGCTGAAGTCTTGGAATTACCAGATCCTACAGGTTGTAGTAGGCGCAGGCGAAATATACGAAATCAGATTCCAGATCACTCCAGAACTGTTGATCTGTTGCAACTGACAACCACAAGTTGTAATGGTTCTGGGCGTCGTGGTCGTCATACATGCCCTTGGTGCGTAAGCGAAGCACGATGTCGTCTGCCCGCCATTCTCGTTGTCGTCCTTGCCGCCTCTGTGCTGGCGTGTATCGTGTACATCTGGTTCCCATGCGGCTGCTAGGACAAGTCCGTCGATGATTCCAGGTTGGTTCGTCTTGCAGCGCCTGTTGCTGCATGCGTAGCCCTCCGCACGACATGTTCCCACGCTTTCAGGCCGTCGTCATCTTTGCCACCATCGTCGAGGTCTGCGTTTTGATAACTTTGTTGGGTGTCGTCGAAGTTGTTGACTTCATCTTCGAGGGCAGACTCCTTGGAACTGTCGGCGTTGGTGGTTGTGTTGCCGTCGTGTCTCGATCGGCGCCTCGGGGTGTTCGCGGTGAGCCGAAGCATTCGTCGTTGGGTACGTCGTAGTGTCTGGAACATGTCCGTCGTAGTCTGCGGTGCCGCTTGCTCGCGAGATCGTCGCGGAGCTGGCGAAAGCAGCGCCAACCACGCGCGAGTCTGTTGGAGAGCTCTACTCGGTGAAAGTCGCGGACAGTGAGTTTCCGGCCAGGGTGCTTGGTAGCCTGGGCAGCGCTGAGAATTTCGATGTTGTCGCCGTCCACGCTGGTGTGCGTAATTGTCCGTCCATGGCGACTGCTGGCGTTGGTGGGGAGTTTGGTGTTGCCTGGATGTAGCATTAGTCCGCGCGTAGATGCCCATGTCGTTAGGTCCCGGAGAAGGACCTTCAATTGTCGCAGATTCGGCGCAAGGAAAGGACGTCATCGGCGAAACGTACATTGGTGAGCAGCGTAAGCTTCGAGTGCCCCAATGGCATGCCAAATCCCTGGCGACCCCAGGAGGGCATGATTTGTCGGAAAACATGTTCGAGCAACGCGTTAAACAGGTAGGAGCTGAGAGGGTCGCCTTGCTTGACGCTGCGCTCGATGGTTAATTATATGCTGCTGACGTCGGTCCTGACTGTGGCGGTCTGCCCGCTGCATAGCTTTCGAAGTTGTGCGGTGCGCGGTCCTGGCACGTTCTGCGCGCGAAGTGCTCGCCAAAGGTGTCCGTGGGCAACGCAATCGGAGGCCTCCTGAAAGTCGATCGCTGCAGTCCATGCTGGAAGTTTCCACTCATGGGATGCTTCGTGAAACGAGCTCGCGGCGAAAACAGGCGGTCTCCTGCGCAATGCCCCTTTCGGAAGCCAGCCTGGTCAGGCGTTTGCTCGGCGTCGAGGTTGGCCTCCAGTCGCTTGCACAACAGTCTGGACATTAGTTTATATAGCAATGGAATGATGGCGATTGGTCGATAGTTCTGTGGGACCTGCGGGTCTCCAGCTTTGAAAATGACGCTGATCGCAGCTCGTCTCCACGATTATGGGGGCTCTTGCTCGGGCGCTATGACGCCGTTGAAAAGCTCCCAAATGTGTCGTTCGATGACGTTCCCTCCGGCTTTGGACAATTCTGCTGCGATGCCGGCTGTGTCTTTGCATTTGCCGCGTTTGAGCTGCATCGCTGCGAGGTGCATTTCGTCGATGGTGAAAGGTGGCGCGTGCTGGTCAACGCCGTTTGTGGCGTGGTCCCGAAAGTTGAGCGTCTGATCATCGGCATCTTCACCTGCTGCAGCGCGGCGTCGGCACAGCTGCTCGTAGGAGTCCGCGAACGCGTATGCGATACCTAGTCGGTCTGTCTCATTCTTGCCGTCATTGGTGGTCGCAGCTGGAATCGCATCTTTTCTCTTTCCAGACTTGATGCCAGCTAGTTTCTTGAGGCCGCGGAACTCGCGTACAATGTCGCGCACTGCTTTCTGTCGTTGAGACCGCTAGATGGTCCGGCGTTATCTGAGGGCACGCTTGCTGAATGTTTGTCTGGTGACCGTGTCAGAATGTGGTGTGTTCATGCGCTGCTTGATGAGGGCTCGTAAGACTCGGATTGCTTTGTCGTTGTCGTGGTCGTCGTTGTGGGTGTGACCAGGCTGCTGTTGGTGCGGTTGTTGTTGTTCCTGCCAATCATAACGTGCTGCTGTCATCGCCTCTTCGGTGAGAATGCAGGCGTCGTGCAAGACGCACGGTGGACCACCGTCGTTCAAACGCTCCTTCGGATAACGTTGAAAAACCGGGTCGTTTGGTCGGGGTCTTTGTTGGCGCGCGTGCTGGAGACGTCGTTTCTTCCGTCGTCGTGGGCAATGGCTCACGCCATCGATTGCCAAACGGAGGTGCACGGCCTGACGGTCAGAGCCCAAGTCGGGACAGGACGAAAAAAAACGAATCAAGCATGAGGTGCCGTGCCAGTTGTTCCATCAGAAAATAGTCAAACTGAGACTGTGTTGAGTTGGGCCCAGCGCGTGCGCGGGTGAACTCGTTGCGCGGGTGCGTTTGCGCGTGCACGCCCAGGATCGCAACCAAATGCCTCGCTGAGCACACCCAGCTGGTCCGAAGTTGCCGCAGATTCGTCTGTGTGCGTCGTGACTGCCGTCGTCTGCCGACCTTCGCATTGAAATCCCCTGTCAGTGCAAACGTGCGCTTTTTCCTGATGGCATCATCGTGGACTGTGGAGAGGAAATCGTAGACGCACTGGACGCGCGGGCCCCCGTGCCCCCCGCGCGGGAGACACGCCGCTGCTATTCGGAGCTGCCGTTGGGGAAAATCGGGCTCGATGTAAGCAATCCGCTCGTTGATAGCTGTGAAGCTCTTGATGCGTTGTGCGCGTCGTCGGTGCACCAGAAAAGCGGCGCCCCTAGTCGGGCTGTCATGCCACGCAGCTGCAAATACATGTCCATCAAGTTCCGCAACCCAGAATTATCCTTTCATAGTCCGCCACGTCTCATTGATTGCTACAACGTCCCAACCGATGTCTCCGAATTCATGCATCAGAACGTCGATTGCCTCGTTGTATGTCGGACTCCTGGCATTTTTGTGAATGATCGTTATCGCGTCGTCCTCGGAGTTGGCGCGCAGCTTCTCGGGCGTCGCCGTCTCCGGCAAATCTGGTGGAGGCTGAACGTCGGCAGGTGGAAATGGACACGAAGAGTCAGATGTTGCACGCTGGAGGTTGGATTGCTGAGCTGGCGTTGGCTGGAGGTCGACGGGTGGATGTGGAAAGTGGACGTCGGGTGTTTTAGGTTGTAGGTTGGGGCGTTGAGTCGGTGGAGCTTGAAGGTCCATGGGTTGGGAGAGCGATGGGCGGTCCCATGCTGGGCGCCGAAGTCGGGGCATTGAGTTGGCGGGGCAGGAAGGTCAATAGGTTGAGGTGGGAGTCCGGAGTCGGATGCGCGAAGTAAAAACCTGGAATGCCGGACAGACGGCGGCTCGAGGTCGAGGGTCGAGAGGTGGAGGTATGAATGGGGGGTCACATGCTGGAGTCTGGCGCTCGGGATGTTGAGCTGGTGGATGTGGGAGGTCGATAGGTGGAGGTGGCGGTGAGAGGTCGGGTAATAAAGGGCTGGAGGTCGGGGTGCTGAGCTGGCGGAGGTTGGAGTTGAGAAAAACAGATGGGATCAAAGATAGGATTGAGAGCAGGAGTCGGCATGTGAAGCATATCCTTGTCGTCGCAGTAGTCGCCAGAAGTCCTCGGGCGACAAATCACCTGGGAATGACGCAGAAGCCGTCCTATACCTACGGGGACATCTCCGGCTACATTCCGAGATTTGCCCCGCCCACCCCCTTCTGGTTGAATCGTTTCCTTGCGATTTGGAAACCCAGGGTGTGTGGTGAGAGGCGGGGGTTGGAGGTCGATATTGGGAATTGGAGTTGGGGAAATATTAATCTGTCCTGGAGCTGGAGTCGGAGAAGCTGGAATCGGAGAATCCAGAGGAGCGCACTGGAGACGCGCGTCTGCATGTCCATGTACGCGTAGAAACCCCTGGCCGTGAGATTGGAGGTTGGAGTGGGGAGCCGGAGTCGGAAATGTAGGTCCTGAAGCTGGAGTCGGAGACGCTGGTGTCGCACAAACTGGAAGAGTGCGTTGGAGACGTGGGTCCGCATCACCACGTCTACGTAGCAGCTCCGGGCCACGAAGATGGCGGTCGGAATCGGGGGCTTGAGTCGCAGGGATCAGTCCAAGATTTCGAAGCTGGATGTCGAAGAATTCGGGCTGGAGTCGGCGATCGGGCGCCGTCGGTCGGAAGTTTAGAGGGTGATCTGCTCGTCGCAGGTCGTCTGGGAAGACATATCCCCACATTGGTGTCGGAGCCCATGTCGTCAGCGTTGTCTCTGTATCCGCTAGTGGTGAAACGCAAGGAATAGGAGCCAAGGCGCCAGGAGGAGTAGACGTACAGCGGCGTGGTTGGGACCTCTCCTGGGCGGCACCTAGAGTCGGAGTCAAGGTCGGTCTTGCCGGTGTACCTGCCGATGGTGAAGCACAAGACGAGCTCGTAGTGCGGAACCGTGGTCGGAAATGGGAGACCGAATGCGGGATCGGATCGCTGCGAGCCATGAGTGTGACCGGTGATGGGTACCCTTGTGCGAGTCATGAGTGTGACGGGTGATGGGGACGTTGGCAGTGGTTGGGGTCGGCTGTGGGTCTGAGGTGGCCCAGCACTTGTTCCTGCCGGGTGGGGGGCAGAGGTTCGAGATTCCAGGCTCGAGAGCGGTGTCTTTTCTTACTAACGTCTTGCTAGAGAGGTCGTAAAGGGCTCCAAGTTTTCCTTTCACAGGAATCCACGGAGGGTGGGGGGAGGCGTTTTCCAGGCCTGGCGGCGATCCGCTCCAATACTGCCCGAGATGGCCACGGAGCCTCCCCAGAAGGTCACCTAGAAGCCACGCGGGCCTGGAGATGGCCCCAACACGCCGTCCAGGCCGGCCTCCTTTGCTGTTTGACTATGGGTGTCTCTTCCTCTATCCCCCCGTCAACTCTCATGGGCAGCGTTGCTGGATGGGCTGGTGGGGATACGCGAAACGTCAAGAGTAATTTCGATCACCCACAAAAGTATCGAAACAGTGCCAGCCCGACACGCTAGCGAAGTGTCGAACGAGTATCGCTTCCAAGGGCCCGGCACATGAAAACTATCTAGTTTCTGTACTTTCTTGATGCTCGGAGTTCTTGCTGGTGATCAAGGCGCTGGAGTAGGTTGGAACGTCACAACGATAGTGGCAAATCCGTTCAAAATCAATCCTTTGACCCTCCCCCGGTCCATCTGGTGCAATTCTTCACCCTGGGACCCGGAAGCTGCCCCGGGGGACCAACAAGGGCGAAAAACCTTCTCGAACCCAGCACCTCGAACCTCGCCGGCCCCGTCCTGCTGGTCGGAGCCGGTGTTGGAACTTCGCGCTCTCGCGCCGCCTCCCAGGGGAGAAGAGGAGGACGAGGAGGAGTCGGAGCCGAACCGTGAAGCGCGAATATTTTCGCGCCCTCGAGGGCGCCCTTGGTCCGGAGACCTGGGCACAGGAGACAACAACGGCGAACCTCCCTCGCGCCCCGGCGCAGATCCGCTCAACATCGGCTCCCGGACCCCTCCCGGGCAAGGGAAGGACAGAACCCCTTGTCGCCGAGAAATCCACAAGGTATCCCAAACATGTTCAAGCATACCCCAAGCACAATCGAAAAATCGTGCGCAGACTATCTTTGTACTGTTCTGGAATCTCCCTCCTGTAGGGGGACATGCCCGACCTAACGATGGATCGACGATCCGATCGCGAGTCCGCACGTTTCGGGGATGGACAGACCTCCCTTTAGTAAAACGTGGTTTAGTGAAAACGACCTCGGGCCCAAACCTGGCGGGCGCAAGCCTAGAAAAATGACGGCCGCGGCGCCCTCTCGAGAACCAGCAACGGATAATTCACTAGTCGACGTGTCAGGGTGGGGGTTCTGTCCACCACCGACGGAAGGGGGGGGAGGGAAGGGGGGGGGGGGACACCGCCCGCTCGAAAGAGGCGCCAAAAAGCAGCCGGGATCTACCCCATGAGCGGGGTGGGGAGGGGAGGGGTGCGAGGGCCCGCGCCGATCGGCAAAACGATGCATAAAAACAATCACCTGCTCGAAACAGGCGCCGAAAAGCAGCCAAGATCTACCCCATGAGGGGGTTGCCGGGTCCGAGGGCCCGCGCCAACCGCCAAAACAATGAATACGACAACGATCGCGAGGGCCGTGGTCTCGACTGGCCCTCCTCCGATCCAACCATCCGTGAGAGATGGAGGAGGAGGAGGAGGAGGAGGAGGAGGAGGAGGAGGAGGAGGAGGAGGAGGAGGAGGAGGAGAGGAGGAGGAGGAGGAGGAGGGAGGAGAGGGAGGAGGAGGAGGAGGAGGAGGAGGAGGAGGAGGAGGAGGAGGAAGGAGGAGGAGGAGGAGAGGCAGGAGGAGGAGGAGGAGGAAGAGGAGGAGGAGGAGGAATAGGAGGAGGAGGAGGAGGAAGAGGAGGAGGGGGAGGTGGAGAAGGAGGAGGAGGAGGAAGAGCTCGGGAACGGCTAGAAAGGTGCCACCACATTAAACATGCATCAAACAAACTCCAAACGAGTAAGGGGGGGTCAAGATCCTCCCCGGGCGGCGCAACCTGCCGGCGGCACTCTTGCGCTCGAAGCCCGAACGACTCCGCCTCTTCCCGAGAGCGGAACCCAAAAAGTGACAGGCCTCGCAGAAGGTCGACCCCAGTCCCCGCCCAAGCACACCCACCCCCGCCCGACATGGACGCAAGAGAGCCTCTGGACTGAGGCGGCGCTAGCTGCGGGAGGTCGTCCAGACCCATCTTGGCTGCCAGGTAGTCTCGAGAGGGATCCGATAACACGGCCGCTCGCGAGACCCGAAACCCTTGCTTCGAAGGATGGCGACCGCGCAAAATCCAATCCAACTGCCTCTCACGACCCGAGGAACGGTGGCCCAGACAAACTGACGCTAGAGCCGTTTTTCCCCCGTGCCCTGCTACGGCACAAACCGGGCCGCAGCGAGTACAGAAGGCCAGGGAGCCAGCCGCTGCCCCCGAGGGGTCTGTGACCCCACACTCGATGATGTGGTGGGCGCGGGCTGGCCAGACATGGAGGTCGGGCCATTCGGCCCTGCCTTCCTTACCTTCCTCACCCACCCTCCCCGACTCCCGACCCGTCCCGCCACTCCCAGGAGGAGGAGGCTCAGGAGGAGGAGGTGGAGGAACCACGTCAGGGAGAGGAGGGATCTCAAGGGTCATGTGCCTAAGCCAATCGATGCCGACATGGTCGAACTGCTGACTGTCTCCAATCCGAGCCTCTTACTCAGCCGAGAATATACAAAGAAGACGGGCCAACTCGAAGCAACCATCGACGACGGCACGATCGGCGGCAGCGATTCTACCCCAAGAGGCACCTGTCTTCGCATATTCGTCCGCAGCCTTGTTGCCTAGATACTCAAGCCGACTGAGCTTCCCATTCTCGACATCACGAAGGGTGCTATGGGCTGGCACTTTATGCCGCCGCACACCGTCAAACTTATCGTACACATGCTGCCACATATGCGATCGAGCATTATCTGGACACACAGCTCCCACTGGGTTCGAAACATACCCAAGGGTCCCCGCACAGTACCCATACAAGTTGGCCCCGGGGAAAACTGTAGCATGGCGAACCAGAGAGACCACAGCGTAGTCCCCACCGTCGCGGGCGACTTGGGCCGGAGCAACGCTTAAGGGCACACGCCCCCTATCGCACGAGCCACTTTCCCCCACCCGTCCGTCACGATCACCGCCCATCCCGCCGATCGAATCCTAGGGAGAGCAGGCTTGTAGCACGAGCCGTCTATGAACACATGCGCACCCTCCCCAAGCACCAAACCTTCGGCGGGCCAATTGTGCCTGTAGACCGTGGCATCGGGGTGCTCAGAGGGGCGAGTGAACCAACAAGTGGGGTCAGGGAGCACACACCTGGCGAACAGCTCCTGGGCTCTGGGTGAGAGGAGGCGCACGCTATCCGCCGCCCGACGCAAGTCCGGGCTCAACACATCTCGCCGCCACGCCTCGTGGGCAGGGCAATCGAAGCGACGATGGAACATGGTGCCCGAGGGAGCCTGGCAGACCAAACAAGCAGGAGAGATGTCCTGACAGGCGTCGTGAAATCGCTGCTGGCACCAATACCTGTTGGCAATCAGGCTGCGCAAGCACTGACAACAATGATCAGACCAGACCGAGCTTTGCTTCGAAATCAAATCGAGGGCCAGCTTGAGACAGATGGGTCCGCGCCACTCGGCGCCAAAATCACTCTGCCGAACCTGCTCTTCCATCACAAAAGCTTCCTCGCACGCTTCGCGCACGCGAAGGGCGAAGAAAGCGGGGGAAAACACAGACAAACTCCAGGAGTGACCCGCCTGGTCGACCAAAACCGAGGAGGAGGAGGAGGAAGAGAAGGAGGAGGAGGGGGAGGGGGAGGTGGAGGAGGACGAGGAGGACAAGGTGGAGGTGGAGGAAGAAGAGGAGGAGGGGGAGGGGGCCAGTCTAGACAACGGCGTCGTCGTACGTGGCGTCGTCGTATTCGCCGCAAGTCACCTCCTCCGCGAGCACCTGCACGCTCTCCGCCAGTCTGCGGCGCAGCGCCGCCCCCAGGTCCCCGACCTTGGTGGTAATTATTTGTTCGGGGGCGGTTTGGGTTTGGGGGGGCGACGGGGTCACAGATACTCTGGATGGGGTATTCATCAAATGGGGGTTGCTTAACCTCCCGACTGAGTGTGCCCAATCCCGCCCCCTCCGTCCTCGTCCTCCTCCTCATTTCCCTCTTCCTCCAACCCCCCTTCCACCCGTGCCGACAGCACGCGCCCAACCCCCCCAGCGGATTCAAGGGAGGGGGGGCGAAGAAAATCCTGGAGGCCTCGCGCGGCAACTTGAGACCAAATTTGCGTCAGATCCACGTCGGATTTACGTCGGGTTAACGCCGGACTACGTCAGAATTACATCGGCTTTACGTCGGACTGACGCTGGAGCATCGCCGCGCAAGCGTCGACCCATAGTTTCCAGAGCTGGCGTGCGCCGCGCGAGGCCTTCAGGACTTTCCTCATAATGCATGATGGCCCACAGAGAAAGGCATTAAAGCCTGCAGCGCCACAGATACATGCATGCGAATGTGCCGCTGCGTTCAGCAGACTGCAGGGCGGATGCCGTCGAAAATGGCGCACGTGCACACTGGATGCCGCAGACTACGGCTTGACCTGACCTGAAAGGGAGCGGGCCATCTATACATGTGCCACAACGAACGCGCGAGTGTGTGTTATTCAACGCAACGGTACCTTCATGAAAAGATGCCGACGTCAGAGATGTGATGGCGGAATCGGCAGGCCGTCCTGCCGCGGGACAATCATCGCCCCTTCCTGCCCGTTGAAAAGAAGACGCTGGCGCGGAGAAGGGGCGCGCGGAGGACGGACGAAGAAACGAAACACAAAGACTAGGACTACCCGCGTGAAGCACCTGCGCGGGTGCAGCGGGTGGGCGCCCGGGCGCGCATGGTCACTCGTGGGCTGGGGTCGGTGTCGTCTGTGGTCTTGCGGCGTAAAAGAGGGAGAAGCAAAACAGTAGCCAATGCATGTGCCACAGCATGACCCGAACTCATCGACGTGCTCGGAAGCTTGAGACCGGTTCCTCTGGAGTCAACGGCGGAGCCCGGCTGCGGGCTTGGACTCTCCCACAGAAGCCGACAACCAACTTACGCGGTACCTGAGCATCACCGCACTTTGAGAGAGCCATCGGACTGTGGAGGCAGGTGCAAAGCCAACTGCGTACAACAAAAACATGACAAGTCAAGCCAGATGCTTTCGGCAATCCCAGGCGGGTCCCAATTGTTACGTAAGAGATTCAGCACGTCGATGCCATCAACGCCAACGCTGACGGTGGCGAGAACAATGGCCAACGGCGGCCGCCTACGCCGAAGCAGACGCCGACGAGGACGACGCTGACGAGGACTAGAACGTCTGCCGAAGACGACGATGTCAGTGCCGACAGCGGCGTTGCCGACAACGCAGACGCCGACGATGACGAGCACGATGGTCGACGGCGGCCGACGACGCCGACGCCGCCGACGACGACGCCGACGCCGACGAGGCCTAGGCCACAGTCGTCGCCGCGGCCCTCGGGAGGCTTCGGGCGGCCCTCGGTGGCACCCAGCGGGAGGCTTCGGGCCCTCGGGCGGCCCTCGGGAGGCTGCGGGCGGCCCTCGGGAGGCTTCGGGCGGGGCCCTTGGGAGGCTTGCGGCAGTCGAGGTCATGGGGGGAGCGCCCCGGCCAGCTCTTCGCCGCGGGCCCCGCCGAGGAGGAGGAGGAGGAGGAGCAGGAGGAGGAGGAGGAGGAGGAGGAGGAGGAGGAGGAGGAGCGGCGGCCCGCCGACGGCCGCGGCAACGACGACGAGGACGACGACGACGGTCGCCGACGACGCCGACGGCGGCCGACGGGCGTCGACGGTCGCCGACAGCCGACGACGGGCCGCCGAGGGTAGCCCAGGGCCGCCGGAGGCGGGCAGAGGCGGCCACCAGAGGCTGTCGACGGGAGACGAACGTGGCCTTAGAAGAAGCCACAAGGGCATGAACAGAAACTTTTGGCGCTCGACGCGGAGCCGGCATGAAGAAGCAACAAGGGCAGAACAGAAACTCTGCGCGGGCGGCGCCAGAGGCGCCAGAGGGCCGACGGCATGGACAGAAACTTTGGCGCAGCCTGCAGATCCAGGAAGGCCGCGCGGACTGCCACAAGTTTATGTCCATGCAGTCTGTCGTTTTCGACGAGGGGAGCCGAGAGCAGCCTGAGGCCGCTGATTGCCGCCCCGCCGCATGGGCATCGTTTAACCGACCCCTGTCCCCATGAACGTGGCTGAGGCCCCAATGGCCGATTGACCACCTAGATGGGGAAATGGGCCGTTCCCTTAGGGTTTCGAGGTGTGTCCCCGACTGGGGTGCAAGGATGCGGGGGGTCTGGATGGGGATGGGGATTGGGATGTGGATCGGTTCAACGATGCCGACCGCAGGCGACTCGCGCCGCGGCGAAGGCGACTCCGACGAGGGACGCCACCCGAGCCCGCGGCCAGCTGCTCCTGGCGCTCCGTACGCCTCGCGGGCCTTGCGCGGGCGCCCCCGCTGCGGGGTCGTCGTCGTCCTCGCGCCCCCAAGCATCGAGTAGGGTGAAGTCGGGCGCGTCCCTCTACAAGAGGAATAGTCAACACTTCTTCTTGAAATGCTCCAGGGACGAGTTGTTGACTAATGTGTTGACTATTTGGTAGTTTCCGTCCAAAAAAAACCCTGTGGGAGGACATGCCCGACACAAGAGTAGGGGATCGTGTACAGAGTTAATTTGACCCACAATTCCTGTTCTCGCCGAGTGTACAGAAGAAGATGCGTATACAGTGCGCATAGGTCTACGAGCATTCTACGCATTGTTCGTGGACCCGGCGAACACAATCGAATTCGAGGTACGTCAATTCTGTGATCGATCCCCTGCTCGACAGAAGATCCCTGTGGAGCGCGTGACGTGCGAGGGGTGTGCCGACATGGGCGGGGTGGCGGCATGCGAACGCTCGCACTGGGGCCATCGGCAGCGCTACCTTTGGGCGGCGTGCGAACGCAACCGACGGGGCCATGGTTGGGCCTCTCAGAACGTGCGAATGATTTGCCTACACGACCGTGTGTGGAGCTACCTGTTGGGGAAACGTGCGAAGGGTGCGCCAACATCGGCGGGCGGCGTCATGCAAACGCAAACCATGGAACCGCGGATGGAGCTCGTGGGGGCACAACACGTGCGAATGGTATGCCGACAGGTGCGGGCAAACAGCCTCCGAACGCAGCCACTGTGGCCATGGATGGGTCTCTCACACCATGCGAATGGTGTCCTGACATGGGCGGGGTGGCGGCATGCAAACGCACCACCCGCTGGTGCAACAGGTGGAGCTCCCATTGGGGTGCGAAACGTGCAAAAGGTGTGCCGACAGGGGTCGGGGCGGCGGCATGCGAACGCAGCCACTGGGGCCGTAGGTGGAGCTCCCTCTGGAGCACGGAACGTGCGAAAGGTCTGTCGACATTGGTGGTGCGGCGGCTTGCGGACGCACCCACTGAGGCCGTGAGGGGAGTTCCCTGTGGACTCGGAACGTGCGAAAAACATCGAGATTGGCTGGGCAGCGGCGCGCAAACTCACTCTATGGGGCCATGCGTGGAGCTCTCTGCGGGGCGCGAGGTGTGAAATCGACGGCGCGGCGGCATGCGAACGCACCCACTGTAGCCGTAGGTGGAGGTTCATGTTGGGCGCGACATGTGCGATCGCTGTGCCGACATGGGCGGCGCGGCGGCATGCGAACGCACCCAATGGGGCCGTAGGTGGAGCTACCTGTGGGGCGCGACCCGCGTCATGGGTGTGCAGACAACAGTCGGGGCGGCGGCATGCGATGGAACCCACTGGGGCCGCGGGTGGAGCCACCTGTGGGGCGCGACCCGCGTCAAGGGCGTGCAGACAAGAGTCGGGGCGGCGGCATGCGACCGAACCCGCTGAGGCCGTAGATGAGCTTCCTGCGAAGCACGAAGGCGCGTCCATGGGTGTGCCGACATGGGCGGGGCGGTGGCACGCGAACGCATTACCTGGAGCTCCCTGTGGGTCGCAAAGCGTGTGAAGATTGTCCCGAAATCTGCGCGGGCGGCGCCAGGCGGACGCACCCCCCAGGCCGCAAGTGGAGCTCCCAGATGGGGCCCGAGCCTCGTGCGGAGCGTGCCGACAAGGGCGGCGCCACGACATGCGGACGCACCGTGTGGGGCCGCAGCTTTCGGTCGGGCGTGTCCCCCGTACGTGCGGACTGTGGGACGAGAAAATTATCAAACAAGTGCCCCAAAACGGTCAAACATAGCAGAAAAATTGTCCCCATGATATTTGTGTGACTATGTTTGAACATCCCTCCTGTAGAGGGACTTGCCCGACTTACCCGTAGCTTGAGCTGCCTGCGGGGCGCGAGGCACGTCGAGGCTGCGCCATGGGTCGTCAAGGCGGCGGCGGCGGCATGCGAACGCACCCGCTGGGGCCGCAGGTGGAGCTCTCCGTGCGGGGCGCGACAGGTGCAAAGAGTTTTTTTCTCCCACGACCGCAAGGATGAGCTACCTCCCAGCCAGTGGCTGCATCTCGCCACAGCAAAGCTGCGCCGCAGCGTAAGACGGAGTAGATCACGGAGGCTCTCATCTCGCACACGCCAATGTGCTGAGTGGTCAAAGGAGCCACGAAACGGTGCTGAGCGGCCTGGTATAACAAGTGGGGCCGCCACAGGAGGAGAGGGGAGGGGGGACGAGACAAGACCAGAGGGGGGAAAACGCGCGGCGGGCCAACAATTGCAGGAGGCACCGAGGAGCGCGCGGCCAAAGGTGAGGGCGCCCGCCCGTGTTACAAGACAGGGACGCAGTCCGCGGGAAATCCCCACCGCGGGCCCCAGAAGGAAGCACAGGAAGGAGCCAAAAACGGAGGGAGGGAAGGAGGCGAAGGCGGAAGAAACACAGCCAGAGCACCGTGCAAGGAAACCTGAACAAGTAAAACCAAAATCTAGAATATCTGCGCGGCGGCATCGCGCCACGCACGGACCAGCCCAGGGCGGCGGGGGGGGAAGCACAACGCAGGGGATGGGATTGCCCGCCGGCGGCCGAGGGGGGTCCAGCCGGTTCAAACGATGGAACCCCGTTCATCAATTAACCAACGAAAACATGCAGAGCACAGAGGAAGAGAGGGAGAGGAGGGCCGGCAGGCAGTGCCGCACTCAATGCTTGCACATGAAGGCACCGTGGAAGCCGACCGCGTGGGGCTGTCTGTCGTGAGGCTCCCCGCTGGACCCTTAGCTCGACCACGTTGGAATCGACATCGTGCCGCAAGAAGTCGCAGTAGTCGACAGGACCGCGCTTACCATGCTGCTCGCTGTCGTCGTCATGACGCGCACTGCGGAACTGGCTGTGGACGTCGACGTGCTACTAGTGGCACGTGCGGTGTTGCTCGACAACGTTACCTTCGAATCCGTGCAAATAGCGGTCGCGTTGCTCATCCGGCCCGCGGTCGCATTGCTGCTCGCTGTTGTCGTGAAGCTCCCAGTTACGTGTACGTAGTCGAGCTACTGGTGGCCTGCGCGGTGCCGTTCGATCAAGCTGTAGTCAAAACTATGCCACCAGCGGCGGCAGTGCTCGCCCCGACCGCGCCCTTTCTGTTGCTCGCGACGTAGGCACTAATGTTTGTGTAGGTGCTGGCGCCGGCGGTGGTGCGGGCGTCATTGTTGGCGTCGGCACTGGTGTAGGCGCAGGCGGTGGTGTCGGAGCACGCGCCGACGTTGATGCGGGCGTAGGTGCTGGGTTCGGCGCCGTCGTAGGCGCCAGCGTCTGTGCTGGCGTCGGCACTTGCGTCGGTGCTGGTGTAGGCGCCGGCGCTGGTGCTGGCGTAGGCGCCGTCGTTGGTGCTGGCGTAGGTGTTGGCGTCGCCGCTGGTACAGGTGATGGGGCTGGTGCCAGCGTAGTCGCAGGCGCTGATGCTGGCGTCGTTGCTGGCGTCGGCGCTGGCGAAGGCACTGGCGGTGTGGCTGGCGTATGTTGGTGGATGCGCGGGCGCGGGTGCTGGCGTAAGCGGTGTCGTTTGTGCTGGCGTCGGTGTTGACGTCGGCGTTGGTGTTGGCGCTGGTGTTGTATCCCTGGATCTTCTGGCAGCGTAGGTCTTGCCGCTCAGCGTCGTCATACCGCTGGTATCTGAGCCAAACGCCGAACTCGTGGCGGGCTTGTTGTTCAATCGCTTCGCTCATTCCGCCGGCCCATGTTGCATGCTCGCTCCTGCTTCGCCGTGGGCCGGGGGCCATTGTGGCGCCGCCGAGGAGGGGGAAGCTGAGGATGGGGAAGGGAAGGGGAGGAGGAGGAGAGGATGAGAAGGAGAGGAGGAGGATGAAGATAAGTAGGAGGAGGAGGACGAGGAAGGGGCGGAGGAGGAAGCCTCTCGTTGGCATCTTGTGTTGCTCTTGGGGCCAAACAGGGTCGTCGTCAAGATGCTTCTTTTGGAAGCCTCTTGGGGTCTTTTGAGAAGCCGTTCGGGGGCGCCGGGGAGGCATTTGTGAAGCCTTCTGGGGCCTCTTTTGGGCTTCCTGGGGGCCTCCTGGGGCCTCTTGGGGGCCTCTTGGCGGCATCTTGGGGCCTCTTGGGGGCCTCTCGTGGCCTCCTGGGGCTCTCTTGGGGCGGAAGGCTTGAACTTTCGGTTCGTGGTCCCCCTCTTGGGCCCCTCTTGGGGCCGCCTTGGGGCCGTCTTGGGCCGTCTTGGGCGCCTCTTGGGCCGTCTTGGGGCCCTCTTGGGCCCTGTTGGGGCCCTCTTGGAAGCCTCTTTGCCGGTCTTGGGGCGTTCTTGGGGGCCTCTTGGGACACCCTTGGAGCATCGGATGGGGGAAAAGGCGACAAGGCCAACATCTTTCAAAAACCATCGTGAAATTGATGATGTTGGCCATTCGGGGCCCTCTTGTGAGGCCTCTTGGGGGCCACTTGGAGGCCGCTTGGGCCGTCTTGGGGTCATCATCTGCGTCTTGGAGCGCCCTTTGGGCGTCTCGGGGGCCTCTTGGGCAGTCTTCGGGGCCTCTTGAGGCCCTCTTGGCGCGCTCTGGGGGGCGTGAAAGGCCGTACCAAGGAGGAAAACCATCTCTGAGTAGACCTGCCCGGGCTGCGGTCGGGGTACTTTTCGCCGGGGGACCCCCAGGGGCGGCCCCGCGCGCGCAAACTAGAAATAGTCTTAACCAGTCACGGGAGATCTTAGCACGCCTCTGGCCCGTTGGGCCGGCGAATTCTTGTGGCTGTTGATCGTCGCGCGCGTGCCGCTCAGCAGCGTTGTGCCACTGGCACCCAACCCAATGGACGAACCCTTGGAAGCTGACCAAACCATCAAGATGGTGAACGCCGTGGTCGTGTCTCTCAATGACTTCGCGCCGCAAGTACGCATGAATGATATCACGGACTCGGTGAGTGGCGATTCTCGGCGTTGGTGCGGTCGTAGGCGCAGGCGTTGGTGCTGGCGCAGGGGCTGACGTCGGCGCTGATGTAGGCGCTGGCGTTGGTGCCGGCGTATTCGCAGGCGTTGATGCTGGCATTGATGCTGACGTCTGTGATGGCGTTGGCGCTGGCGACAGGCGCGAAGAGTGTGCAGAAGTGGGCGGGGCGGCGACATGCGAACGCACACGCGGATGCCGTATGTGGAGCTCCCTGTGGTGCGCGACACGCGGCAGGGATGTGCCGACAGGGGTCGGGGCGGCGGTATGCGAACGTACCCACTGGGGCCATAGATGGAACTCCCCGTGGGGCGCGAAACTTCAGGTGCGCCGAATTGGACGGGGCAAAAACAAATAGCATCGAATCGGAAACGCGGACCGAATCGGTCGGAATGTGCACGGGATCGGGCCGCATCGGCACAGAGTCGGAATCGAATCGGATCGTTTGCACCAGGATCCACAATAGCGCCACGTGAGCATCGGGCTGCACTGGATCGCCAGCAAACCGAAATCGAATCGGATCGAGCCGAAATTGGTATCGAATCGGATCGACCAAATCGAAGTGGACCCTGCGGGGCGGAGAAATGGGAACACACCCACTGGGGCACTCCTGGTGAAGCACGAAAGGCACGAAGAGTGAGCCGACAAGGGCGGGTGGTGGCATGAGAACGCAAAGCCTGCAATCGTGAGTGGAGCTACCTGTGAAGCGCAAAATGTTTGAGGAGTTTGACGACACGGGCGGCGCGGCGGCATGCGAACGCACCCAATGGGGCCGTAGCTGGAGCTCCCTGCTGGGCGCAAAACGTGCGAAGAGCTTGCTGGAACCACTTGGGACATGGGAGGAACCGCAGGTGGGGCACCAAACGTGTGATGAGTGTACCGAAATTGGTTGGGGACCGCATGCGAGCGTACACGCGGGGACCGCAAGTGGAGTTCCAAATGGGGCCACGGTGGTAGTGAGGAGTGCGCCGAAGTGGGCGGGTGGACCGAGTGGCCGCGTGTGGACACGCTGGCTGGGGCCGCAATTGGAGATCCCTGTGGGGGCCCGATCCTGGCATTGGTGGAGCTCCCAGATCGGCGGGGCGCCGCAGGTGGACGCCCCCACTGGCGCAGGCCGAGCCCCCTGCGGGGCCACGATCCTCGAGACGGGTGTGCCGAGCTTGGCGGGGCGCCGCATGCGAACGTACATACCGGAGCCGTGTGGGGGGAGTGCCCGATGGGACCACGATCGTAGTGAGGGGCGTGCCGAAATGGGACCTCGTGTAGACGCACTCTCCAATGGGGCCGCAGCCGGAGCGGAGCTCCATCTGGTGACACCGTCCTCGTCACGGGCGTGCCGAAATGAGCGGGGGGACCGCATGCAAACGCACCCACCGGGGCCGCACGTACGTGGAGCTCCCTGTGGGGACACGATCCTCGTGAGTGATGTGTCGGAATTTGCGGGGGGACCGCATGCGGATGCACCCGCGTGCAGACATGGACATGTGAAGTACAACGCATTTGTCCCCAAAATGAATCGCAGCCAAGCTCGGTCAGGATCTCATCTAGGGTGTGCAGAGGAAGGCGGAGCAGGAGGGCTGGAAGCTGCGAGGAGCAAAGGAAGGAGGATGAGGAGGGGGGAATGAGAGAAGGACGGTGGATCGCGGAGAGGCGGAGTCAAAACAAGGGCCAAGCTACTCAGGAGACTTGGGAAACGCGTGGCATCCCGCGCCTGTTGGTCAGGGCGGACCGCATCTCCGCGCTCGTCCTCTCTGGGACACCGAGCAGCGCCATGGCCTTCCCCATCTTGCCGAGGAGGAACTTCTCGCGCCCCGCCTGGCGTTAGGTCGGGCGTGTCCGCCCTCGGATTGTGGGCGAAAAATTGAAACATAGTCAAACATGCCCAACAGTAACCAAGAGAACACGGACAAATCGTCCCCTGACTATTTTGTGACCACTTGTGAATATCCCTCCTGCAGAGGGACGTGCCCGACTCACACCTGGCGGAGGGAGGCCGGCCGTGTCGAGGCGACCAACCACGTTCGGAAGCCGGGCAAGGGCTGCTAAATCCGTGGCTGCTAAAATCGACCTCCGGGAAAGTGTCTTCGTTCTTCCGGAAAGAAGCCCGTTGACTGTTTCGCGTGCCGCGCCTCATTCCGGGAAGTTATTCTTTCCTTCCAGGAGGGCCGTTTTAGCAGCCACGGTTTTAGCAGCCCTCGCCCAGCTTTTGACACGCTGAGACAAGGGCTCCCAGCCTCGCGCTTCGCGCTGCGTGAAGTGCGAATAACTTCGCGCTCTCGCGGCGCCTCCCAGGGGAGAGGAGGAGGATGAGGAGAAATCCGAGCCGAACCGCGCAGCGCGAAGCGCGCAGAACTTCGCGCCCTTGAGGGCGCCCTCGCCGAGAGAGGCCTGCGGCACGCGCGCCGAGGAGAGCGCGCGGTGCGGGGCCGGCGCCGCGCTGCAGCAGCACCAATGCACAGCACCCGCAGAGGGCGCGGCCGTCCCGGGGCGGGGGGGGGCACCTGCCATGCTCGGGCGAGCGCAAACGAAGGGCCCCTGGGACACACAAATAAATACACACAAATAAAAGGATTCCTCATATGTTCGTATACTTTCTGGGTTTTGGTCTTCCCCACCACTTCCCATACTTCCCATGTTTTCCGGGGAATCGACGATTTATTGTGTCTGTGTTTTTTCCCTCCTGAGCAAACATGGATCAAGGGGGCGTGGATTAACGACGGGTCCCGCTTCCATGGGAAACGGCGGATTTCCGCCGAGCGAGGCAGGACCGGCCGCATTTTGGGGAAGGCGCCGCCCCCGCTCCATGGATTTGGCGACCGCGCGGCAAATTCATGTTTGCGCGCCCCCGACGTACAGTCGGACTCAGGCCAGAAGAACATCTCCAAGGAACATGAGAGCCTCCATCGGCCAGGACACACAGAACATCCAAGGGCACCCTCCCCAGGGTGCACAAGAACATCCAACCAAGTACGAAGAATTAGGGCACCCTCCCCGAACCGACCTCGATCTCATACCTCGGTCCCACTGCACTTAGGCGCAACATATCACTTCCGACTTCGACTCTGGGGGGCGCGGGGGGCCGCAAATCACAGCAGTGCCGAAAACAAACGCAAGGAGGGTAGGATAGGATAGGACGGCACCTGCATTTCCCAGGATTCGCTCAGCGGGCTACAAGCCCGATGAGCTATTCCTGGGACATGGCACAAGCAGAAGGGGTGTTGCTGAGCCACGGGGAGGGGCGACGTCTCCCCGCGCTAACGACAGGTGCAACCGCCCAGAGATCAACAACCAGAACCCTTGGCACAGGCAGGTTCCTCCTTCACACGGATACGCTCATGCAGGCAGGCTAACCTCTGCCCGTAACAGACCAGCGTAACAGACCAGGTAGACCAGAGTTGCCGACTTGCCAAACTCATAACCTCACCCGCTCAACATGCAAGCCAGGGGAGGAAGCATAAGAAAAATAACGAAGCCGAGAATAACCACGGCGTCGTTTCAGACCAGCGACTGTTCAGTGTCCTGCCCCTTTTACATCCTCCTTCTCATCCCTGCTGTGCTCCTGCTCTGGCATGGCCACCCTCAGAACCCGTCGATCCGATCCGTGCGCCCGACAACCCATCGACCTCCGATCGTCCGAGACACCGTCCCGCCTCCGCGCCGCCTTCGCCTGTCCAGGCGCGCAGTCTCCCGCGAGCGGCCGACGCCGACAGCACCACTGGGGGGCATCTCTGGGCTGGGACAATCGTCTGCCTGGCGGTGTGGTGCGTGCCGGGGCGTCTTCCAGGTCGACGAACTCTACACAGAATCCAGTACTCCCTGGCCAGGCCCATCCTGAACCCAGCAACAATGTGTACGCAACGGCCTCCTGGCTTGGCCAGGAGGGCGTAGACACAGTTCCAGGGTCCAGGAAGGGCGCGGCCAGGGGGACAGTGGATGTGTTTTGATTTCGTCGCCCGATCTTTTGCCCCAGGAGGAAATACAGGGCGACATAAGGCAACAAGGTTCAGGTCGGATAAAGAAACCTGCCAGCTTCACAACCGATTGGGAGGGGTCTCCGTCATGCAAGAGCCTTTCAGACAGGAGGCGGGAGATGGCGACGAGAAAAGAGGGGAGGGCACACCAAGAAGGAAGGTAGATGCCGCGCTGTTCAAAAATTGTCAGCGTTCTCTGCAACGTCTGGACAAGGATTCAACCGTGCCGTGCAGTCATGAGTGGTACCAGATGTGCCGCCCAGGCTGACGCCGCTGAGGGGGTTCTCATTACATTGTGTGCGCATTGATTCATTGAAGGCAGGCGCAGGGGCTGGCCAGAGGGAACTCTGCTGTGACGCTTCAGCCGAAAGGGAGACAGCCCAGAGCCCGACCCCACCGCTCGTCCGATCGACACTCTGGCACATATAGGCTTCCCAGATAGGATCCGAGTAGACGGGGTCGGGGCATCGCGCCGCATCGCCGATGCATCGGCGACATGGGCGGCGACGCATCGGCGCCATCAGCGTGGAGAAACTCTGCCTACACATCGAGCCGCCATCACTGGACGCATCGTCGATGCGGAACGATCCTTTGACCCCATCTACTCAGATCCCACGAACAAACTTTTCATTGCTCGCGATGACGGCCGTGACTGGCCTCGGCGGCCCTACTCCCCCCCCAAAACCTCCCAGGTGACGTCCCGAGCTTTGACCTCCGAAGTGTCTTTGCATTGGCCTCGACATTCCTAGACATCGCCCGCGCGAAGCGTGACGTTACTGTTGCCGGCCCCGGCCCCCCCGGCAAAAAGCCCCCGTGATCGCCCGGGACTGCAAAAAGCACTCGCGAGGCCCAGAGCCAAGGCCTCCGCAGCCGCCGGCCGCTGCAGGGGGCCGCCCGAATACCGCCGGGAGCCGCTCGGAGGCCGCCGAGGGCCGCCCGGAGGGGTCGGCCATGTCCCCCTACCAGCGAATCTGGGGCGAAACTGAAAGAAATACCCAAACATACTCAAACAAAAAAAACCTCCAAAAATCGTCCCCTGGCAATTTGTTTTGACTATTTTTGGATATTCCTCCTGTAGAAGGGCAGGCCCGACTTCAGCCAAGGCCTCCGCAGCCGCCGGCAGCTAGAAGGGGGCCGCCCGAAGGCCGCCGAGGGCCGCCCGGAGGGCCGCCCAGAGGGCCGCCCGAAGGGCCGCCCGAAGGGCCGCCCGAAGGGCCGGCCGCCCGAAGGTCCCCGAGGGCCGGATTTGGGGCGAACAACTGGAAAAAAAACACACCCGAAATACCAAACGACAAAACAAACTCAAAGAATCGTTCCCAGACGCTTTATCTTGTACGCAATCGGTAATATTCCTCCTGTAGAGGGACATGCCAGACTTAAGACCCGGGCCTCGACGTCTCCGGCGGCCAGCTTCCGGAACTCGTCCCCCAGCGCCTGCTTGATGGCCAGGGTGCCCTGGCGAGCCTCCGACATGTCGGCGTCGAGCTTGGCCTGCCGCCGCTGCTCGCCCCTCATGGCGCCACGCGGCGCGAGGGGGTCGCCGGCCCGAGGTCCCGGAATGGGGTAGGATGCGGTTTCGTCGTCGTCCTCCTCCTCCTCCTGCTTCTGTTCCTCCGTAGCCATTCTTCTCAAGCCGTTCACGGCGGAGGAAGCCCCCCCCCATTGCTCCAGCTCCAGTCGGCAAACTCCCGCCCATGGCCCCTCGCGTCGGTGGCGGCGTGCCCCTGTTTCAACTGGCCCAGAGCAGCTGTGGCTGGCCACTGCGGGGTTTGGATGGCTGCAGGAGGCACGCGGGACGCCGCGTCGTCCGAGCAAGTTCCAGTGATGGGAAGAGCATGGGCCCGGCGTTGCGCCAGCAATGTTGCTCGGCGCTTGCGCAAGGAGCGGGCCTTTGCAAGGACAGCCTCCGTCGTGGAGCAGGCGACCCAGCGGGCGGTGGCCTGTCTCAGCCTGGGCCCCGATGTGGAGATCGTCGGCGAGCTCAGCGACACGCTGACGGCGGAGATCCGGCGAGAACACGCCAGACCACCTCGAACCTCGAGCCGGTCGTCCCCTCCTGAGCTGATCCCCGCCCTAACGTCGCCCCTGACTGACCCCCGCCCCACTTTCGGGGAGACGTAAGAGGCGGATTCTGGGGACTCGGGTTGGCCCGCCCGACGGGGACATCATTCACATTACGAGGCCCAGGTCTGAAATCTGACTCGAGCTCCTGCTGCAACCATCCCACGGAAACTGCTGGACCCTCAAAATCCAGGTCGCGCTCGTCAAAAAGCGTGGTCCAACTCGAGATGCGGGGCACTCGAAGTCTTACTCTGGATGGGGTATCTATCAAGGGGGGGGGGCTCACCTTCCGACTGAGCCTGCCCAATCCCGCCCCCTCCGTCCTCCTCCCCCATCCCCCTCCCCCTCCTCGTCGTCCGATCCCCCCCCCTCCACCAATTCCGACAGCGCGTGCCCAACCCCCCCAGCGGAGCCAAAAGGGGGAGCGATGGCTGCCCCAGCCCACCGTGCGCTTCCCTGGCTCTCGCGCGCTGCCTGCTGCTGCCGCCTCGCAGCCAGGATGTTCCCGGCGTCCGCGAGGCGGCGGGCGGCCTGCGACACCTCTGCGGGCGGAGCGGCGACGACGACGACGACGACGACGACGACGACGACGACGACGACGACGACGACGACGACTACGAACACGACGAGGACAACGACGACGACCAAAACCGCGGCGGGGCGCTACGCGCGACCGCCCCCCGCCGGCACTGGGCTCCCTGAGGGCCCGGCGCGCGCCCGGCGCGCGTTTTCCCCTCTCCCGCTTCCCCCCCCCTCCCCCCTCCCCGAGCCCTCGGCCGTGTCGTTGTCGTCGTCCCCCTCCTCTTGCCACAGGTGCTCCTCTCGGCTGGTAAAAAATGTAGTAAGGACGGGTGGCAAGGACGCAAGACCCTGGGAGGCCGAAGTAGAGATTGTGTGGGCGGGGGGCGACCAGTGAAAACGGCACAGGGAGGGCCGCAGAGGCAGGGACACAAGGGTACTCCAGATTTCGTAATAAAGGGAGGGGGGTCTCATTTCGGGGGGGGTCTCTTCCAGGCTATCTTGGAGGGCCTGGGGTGGTCTGGGGACGATGTTTTGGAGGGTTCTCCCACGGGGGGGGTCTAAAACTTCTCGTCTGGGCGGCGGCGGAGCTCTGCAGGTGCACGAGTCTGGCTGCTCTAACACGGGGCATTCGCAGGACAGCTCAAGCGCCCAGAGTGCGCTAACGAATAGCGGTGCATTCGCACGGAGGGGGGGGGCCCGCGTGCCACGGCTAACCCAGCTCGGAGAAAACCCTGGGGCCAGGCCACGCGTAGGCCTCGACGAAACTACAAGACTACCAACACACTGGAGAGGTCCCAGGAGCACCCAGGAGGGAACAAAGGCACAGGAACGCAGAACCGAAACTCAAAAGCCAAAAAATTGGGCCCAGGAGAGGGGGACCGTAAATTCGGGGCCGAGGCTACCCCAACAGCATTGTCACCGTCGGGCTCCTCCTTCCCCCCTCCTTACGGGGCCATTAATGAGACGGAAGATCGCATCGTCAAGGGAGGAGGAAGAGGTGAGGCGAGGACGAGTGGAGGTGGAGGACCCGCCTCGTGCGGGTGCATATGCTGGTGGCTGGCGGGCACGTGCAGCAGGGCGTGGTGGCGCCGCTCTGATGGCAGCGCCTCGAACTGGGCGGGTCTCAGGATGCCTCAGATCACTCACGAACTGAGGTTCTCCATTCCATCCAGCGCCAACTGCATCAGCCTCTCCTGGTGGGACCGCGGAGGCGTCCCTCTCTTGATGCTCGCCCCGATCTGGACGAGGCCCGCGAGTACTTCCACTTGGATCCCTGAACCGCTGGCTTCCAGGAAGATCTTCATCGTCGCCCGATCGTGCGTGAAGCCTATCTTGCAGAACCTGCAGTGAGAGTCCAGCGTCTCGTTGGTCATGCTCTGGTCGGCCTTCACTGTGTCCATGTAGGTCTTGATTCTCACTGCCGTCTGCGCACCCACTCGATCTCCTTGCTGCTGCAATGCCCCGACTAATGTGAGCCATAAGTGAGGATGTGGTACACCGAGCTTGTCTAGCTCCACGACCCTCACTCCATTCTGAATCTCTTGGCGATGCTGGAGGCGGAGGCGCTGCGCCTCCTGCACAAACTACCTGCCCGTCAGCCGCATCGCCTGGCACACTTCGTGGTCCGCCTGCAGGTGCGCGATGTTGAAGACCACCGACTCCAGCGCCGCCAGCCCTTGCCGCGTGTGCAACATCGACCTGACCAGTACTGGCATGATCGCCTGCACAAGTTCGATCGGCATCGGCTCGTCCCCGAGGCGGAGGACGTCTCCGCGGTTGAGGCCGTAGCTGTTGTCGGCCGCGTCGCAGAGCTGCGCTAGCATCTGGTTCATGTTGCCGCCCTGACGCTGCTGCTGTGGAGGCGGCTGCTGCTGGCGCTGATGCTGCTGCTGCTGCGGAGGTGGTGGCAGTGCGCCTCCCGCCGCCGCGTGCGCCACCGCGGCGGGGGCAGGCAGGCCTGCGCCCACCGTCAGCCCCGCGCCCGCGGCCACGGGCGGAGGCTCCGCCGCAGGCCCGCGCCTCTGTTGGCCTCCTGCAGGGGGGCGCTCCCTGCTGGGCCTCGGGCCACCTCTCCGTGCTGCGCCCGCGCCTCGTTCCCCGCTGCGTGAGCGCAAGGCGGCGGCCCTGTCTGCCCCTCCGACGCTGAGGGCGCGAGAGGCCAGATCCATCAGGCGGAGTCTCGTAGTAAATCAGATCAGGTGCAGGTGGTGCGTGTACTTCCCGAATGTGCATCTGTAACTCTGCAAGGCTCTCAAAGGCCCCTATCTTTCTTGTGCCAGGTGGCATGTTACAAACGAAGCATTCGGGGGTCGTGTCGATATCCAGGCAGAAGGGGCAGTGGAGATCAGACGGGACGATAGGCTCGGGTGCATATGGGCTCCAATATGTGATGCATCGGCGCTTTCGTAGTGGCATGGCAACATGACGTTTGGCCGTGACCTCGCTCTTGAACGTGGACATGCAATAGGGGCACTGGCTGGTGACGACGAGTAAATGGGCGGGGACTCGCAATTTATGTGAGGGATGATGCACCTGATGCGCCCGCAGAGCCCCCTTGCTGTAGAACACCTGCCCACAGACAACCTCTGGATCGTCTCCTGGGAGCTCACAAACATGCACCTCTGGAGGGTCTTGCTCGGGGTCTTCTGTGTGATTATTACCTCGGGGGCCTCGAACCTCTGGTACCTTTCTGAGCTTCTCTGGATTGAACCTGCAGAAGAGCCTACCCACCATGTCCCTCGTGAAGATGTCCCGAACCGTGTACTCAGCCAGGAACTCGGGGCCCCCTTCGAGGCACTGCAAGGCCTGAAGGTCCTTCTGAAGCAACTGGGCCCACGGGTTCGCGGACGGGCTCACCGCCCCGTCCTCCAGGAAGGTGTCTGCCTCCTCCAAGCCTTCCAAGGTCCCGAAGAGCGCTACCAAGGGCTGCCTGCTGTCCTGGGGATACTCGACGAACCGTTGCCACTGGCGGAGCCTTCGGACCAGCAGCTCTGCTCGGGCATTGGCGATGCGCATTTTTGTCAGCAGCGTGCTCTCGGACAGGGAGCGGTACTTCAGTCGAGCCCCGTCTGGAGCGCCTTCTATAATCTCAGGCTTGCGATCGCGCAATACTACTCTCGCGAAGCCCAGGACGACGGCATCCAGTCGGCGGAGGTCCTGCTTACTGAGAAGGTAGGTCTCCAACCCCGAGTATGCAGCCGACAAGATGATGCCTTTAAACGCCATCCTCTTCAATCGAATAGAATGTGTCACCTCCCAGAACCTGCCCATCCTCCTCCATGCTGACCTCGTCGCCTCCACCCTCCGCCTGACTTCTGCTGCACCCCCGCCCGTAAGCTGTTCCATCCCTCCCAGATACAGACTCTCTGCAGCCACCACCCCAGGCACAGCAATACTTTTGGCAAGTAATACTCGGGTGGCCGTGTATGCCCCAGGGCCCGTCATAACTGGCATGCACACCTCTTTGTCGGGGTTCTGAGAAAAACCGCCTCCCTCCTCCAGCTTTCTGTCCAGGATCAGGTTAGACGCCAGAAGTTTTTGCCTTGCTTCTACAGGGTTCGGGGCACACAAGGGTACGGTCTGATGTATATCATCTGCATAGTCTCTGACTGAGACGTCGTGCATCACATTAGTCAGCGCGCACGTCATGATGTTGGCGGCCCTGCAGAGAGGCACTGGTTGGGACTGTCGTGCCGCTTGGAATAAATCCGGCTGCTCTAGTAGCTCGTCCCGCCAGGCCTCCACAGGGCGAAGAAAGCTACGCACGAAAAGCTCGCAAGCGTTCCCGCCCCCCATCCCAGATCCATGCGTCGGTTGATAGTACCCCACTTCCTCCCCCGCCCTGATCTCCATCACCGCCTCCTCGTGCCGTTGATGAAAATAGGCAGGATCTTGCGGGTGCGGAATAACCTCTAAGACCGCGCGCGCAAGCTCCTCGTGCGAGGTCGAGGGAAACGCATTCGACATGTCCTTTTTGACGAGTATGTGTGATATCCCCAGTTTCTTCAACCTCCAGCTGTGTATTTTTGCAACCAATTGTGCGTTTTGTCGTGCTCGATGTGCTGCATATCCATGTGCGTGCGGGGGCAGGGGGGGATGATCACTGCGAAGGTAGAGGCCCCGATACCAAGCTTCCCCCATCGGACAATAGCAATGTATAAGTCGCATGGCCTTCGTGCCCCGCTTGAGGTTCCCCTTGGAGAGCTGAAAGGTCCTACTCCAGCGCCAGCACGACGGAGTCCTAGACTTCACCCTAAATTGTCTGAATAGCCTCCGAAGTCGCTCCGCGAAGTTCGGGCAGTGAACGTGCATGCGGGACTCCACATTCTCCAATTGTGCATCCGTCATGTGATGTGTGAAGGGCCACTCCCCCGTAATCTGCTTCGTGACGCGCTGCGCAAGCCAGTGCCACAGTTCAGCTGGCAACGAGTGGCTCGGGGCATATCGTCTCCTCGCTGCACGGCGCAGCTGCCCTAGCGCGCGGAACCAGTCGTCCCAGGCGAGCGAGGCTGCAGCACCGCCTAGGTCTTCAGGGCCGTCCTCCTGCAGGCGCTGGAGTTCGGTCCAGGCTGGGTCCGACGGCGACTGCAGCACCTTGGCCGAGAAGCCCCCGTCCTTGGCAGAGGCTTTCATTGTCTCCTCCCACTCCTGCAAGCTCGGGCGATACGAGTCTGGGATGTTGAACGCCCGCTGTCGTGGCCCCCTGCACCTCGCTCCAATCTGATAGACCACCTTCCACAAATTGCTGGTGTCGTTCGAGCGTCGATGTAGATCTGCTTCTTCCAGTAGTCTATCAATGTGAATCGTGTCCAACTGTCGTCGCTCTCGCTTGATGACTCGATCCAACGCACGAAGTCGCACCCGAACTTCCTCTGCAACACGTGTGGCACTTGCCATGGGAGCCTCCAGCAAAACGGGTTGGCCGCCGCCTCCACGCGGTGTCCCTCGGAGCGATTCCTCCAACCCCGAGGGCCTCTGGGAGGGGGTCGACCACCCTGCGACGACTGTACCTGGCGCGCCA